CCTATTATTTATTTTGTTCTTTTCATTTTTTCCTTATCATCATCTTCTCTATTACAAAATCATTTTCTGCGTTTTCAAGTAATCGGAGGATCACGGACAAAATATTCTTATGTATGCTAATTATGAAAATATTCAAATTTTATCTTTAGGAATAATCGAAAAATGAACTTAAAATAAAATTTTTAAGAAGTTTTAATTAGAAATCTAATGTTTAACTTTACTCATAAGTACTTGAAACTCTTAACATAAATGCTGACAACTGAAAGTTATAATTTTTTATTTTTTTCGTTAGCATCACTTTACATTATGAAATTTACGGTTATATACATGGCCAGGTAACTTCTTGACTCTACTAGATTTTTAAAATGGTTTCGCAGAACATCTTAAATATGTATTTAAAATAACAAATGTAGTAAGTTGCAAGCAGTATAATAAATTGAAAGATTAAAAAAATATATACATACGATTAGGAAAGACAGTATTTTGATGAGCACACATTCTAGAATAGATAATGTTCTCATTTTCTTCACTCTTGAAATACACTCTTAGATGGGGTGGGGTGGGGGAACGATGCACTAAGAAGGAGTTATTCGAATGGGACCAAAAATGGTAGAAGTCATGTACATGTACAGAAAAACAAATGATTATAGTTTGAGAAAAATTGGACGATTTATTGAAGTGATAGAAAACCAGTAACGTGTTTGTGCACCTCTGGCCTATTATGCTAGCAGTTATTGGCCTTGGCATCGATTGATAGAGGTTGCAGATGTACTCCTGAGGGATATTGTGCCAAATTCAGTCCAACTGGCGCGTTAGATCGTCAACATCCCGAGCTGGTTGGAGGGCTCTGCCCATAATGCTCCAAACGTGCTCAATAGGAGAGAAATCCGGTGACCTTGTTGGCCAACGTAATGTTCGGCAAGCAGTAGAAACATGTGCAGTGTGGGGGGCGGGTCTTATCTTGCTGAAAGGTAAGACCAGGGAGCGTGACATGAAGGACAACACAACGGGCCTTGGAACTTCGTCGACGTACCCCTGTGCTGTAAGGTTGCAGCGAATAACAACCAAAGGGGTCCTACTATGAAATGAAATGGCACCCCGGACAATAACTCCTGGTTGTCGCCCTGTCCCGGAAGACAGTCAGGTTGGCATTACACCTTTGTCTGGAGCTTTACCAGACTCTCCTTCGCTGGTCATCGGAGCTCAATCCAAAGTGGGACTCATCACTAAAGACTATTCTACTCCAATCAGTGACATTCCAGTGCGAATGAACCCGACACCACTGTAAATGGGCTTGATGTTGTACAGAGGTCAATGGTAGTCGGCGCAAGGGGCGCTGTGACCTCAGCCCCCTTTCTGTGAGCCATCTATGCATGGTCTTTATGGTCACTGAAGCACTAGTTGCACGTTGCAATCGATGATAATGATGCATCTGGGGCTGTGAGTGCCGCTCTGTCGATTACTCGATCTTCATGTTCTGTCGTTTCTCGGGGCCTACCGCTTCCTTCTTGATGCTGTGTGCGGCCATGGTTCACTCATTCCTCCCAACATTGTCTAATAGTGGCATCGCTCCTGCTCAAATGTCAAGTTATTCGCCGATAAGGCCAACCGGCTTCTTAGAGCCCAACTACATGGCCTCTCTCAAATTCTGACATCTGTGCATATCGTTCGCGCACCTGTATGCGAGAATCGTAATTTCTCCTCTTAAATATCCTGCCAGTTGTGCAGATCAGGTGCATTGTAGCGACAAGCGTTCATTCATTGGCAGCCAAAATGTAAAATTTTTCATTTTCCGTCGAAACCTGTATGCATATCAATTTGTGTCCAGTTTGCTTTATATCTTCTCGGTGCATCTTTTTTTTTTTTTTTTTTTTTTTTTTTTTTTTTTTTTTGGTCTAAGAGTGTATAATGACCGTTATTTCTGGAAAAAAAGAAATTGCGAGCACCATCGTTGAAACATTTATTGCTTTTTCTTCCAGCAATAATTATCTACCACCATTTCTTTCTGTTAAGTAGCAATTGGAGAAAATTCCCATTGCATTTAATTCTTCCAACTCAGCCTTATAATAGTGATTTTACGATGGACCAGCTGAAAAGAGTTTTATCGCAGACACGTCTAGGTCTGCGATAAAACTCTTTTCTAGAATAGAAGTCTAGTCCAGGTCTAGATGGTATTAGTTACGAAATGCTGAAGCATCTGTCGTATAAGTCATTGACTGCCCTTCTCGCTCTTTATAACCGAGTGTGGAAGGATCATATTTTCTCAATGGGTGGAAAAGAGCTGTTGTTATTCCTGTACCTAAACCAGGAAAAGACCCGAAGGATCCCTCCAACTATCGGCCTATTGCACTTATGAGTTTCATGTGTAAGGTGTTTGAAAAAATGGTAAACAGCCATCTAGTCTATTCTTGGAAAAGAATCATACCATGTCGCCTTATCAGAGCGGTTTTCGAAAAGGAAGGACAACCATGGATAACATGCTTCTTTTGGAAACATCCATTCGTGAAGCCTTTGTGAAAAGAAACCGTCTTGTCTCTGTCTTTTTTTATATTGAGAAAGCTTATGATAAGGCATGGAAATATGGTATATTGCATGATCCTCACAACTCTGACTTTGCACGGCAACCTGCCTATTTTCATTAAAAAATTTTCAAGGAGAAGGAATTTTCAAGTCAAGATTTGTACTGTCTTATCAGATGTTTTTCTACAAAAAGAGGATGTGCCTCAAGGCTGTGTGCTCAACGTTACTTTGTTCACATTAAAAATGAACTTCCTTCCAGTATTTCAGGATCGTTATATGTTGATGATTTGCAGATTAGCTGTCATGGGGCAGACGTGCAAAGGCAACTACAAATTGCTCTGAACCGAATTCAGGACTGGTTAAACAAACAAGGATTCTTGTTTTTGAAGCACAAGACTGTATGCATTCACTTCTTCAGAATGCGAGGTCTCCATCCTCAGCCTGAGTTACGTTTTCATGGAACAGTGATTCTAGTACAACCTGAAGTAAAGTTTTTGGGAGTGATGTTAGACCGAAAACTTACTTCCCTCCCTCATGCGTTACATCTGTGAAAGAAGTGTACCAAAATATTGAATCTTCTAAAAAAAGTCTTTGCGAACACCTCCTGGGGCGCAGAGTGCTGCTCTTTACTTTGCATTTACAGAGCACATGTCCACTCTAGACTAGATTATGGCTGAGTTTTTTATGGATCTGCATGGCCATCAGTTTTGCAGAAACTAAATCCAGTTCATCACCAGGCATTGCGGTTCTGTTCTGGGGCATTTAGGACATTTCCAATCCAGAGCCTGTATGTTAATTGTTATGAACCAGCTCTCCATTTGCGGCGTGACAGTTGTCTCTTCTACATTATTTTAATATATTATCTCAACCTGAACATCCTAGTAACCTATGTTGGCTTGATGATATATGTGACCTTCTCTTTCAGGCACGATGATCTTGTGTTCCTGAAGAGTAAAATCTTTGATCGAAGAGTATACCATATCTGATATATCCACTCAAACAGTATATCATCTTGAAATCCCACCTTGGGAAGATGCGGAAATCAAGCTTCTTGATATTTTCCAGCGCCACAATAAACAGAACACTTGCGAGATCATATGTAAACAACTCTTCTTCGAACACAGATATGAATATTGTGATCATGTGGCCATATATACAGATGAATGAAAAACAGCTTACGAAGTTGGAGCCGGATTTGTAATGGGTGACCACATTGAGGGCAGACGTTTGCGCTACGCCTGCTCAGTCTTGACATCTGAGCTGATCGCCATATATTATGCGCTTTTTCACATATCAAAGCTAAGCCAGAAAGAGTTCATAATTTATACAGACTCGTACAATGAATCGAAAGCTTTAGAAACTTTTTCCAACACTCGCAACCCTTTTGTTGAAGTTCTAAAATTAACTCTAAGCTTACAGTTATGTGCATATCAAGTTCTGTACTGCTGGGTTCCTGGTCATGTTGGGATCAAAGGCAATGAGCTCACAGATATGACAGCTAAGTCTGGTGTTGATCTGTGCAGCAGCATGTTCCTCTGACCGATATTAAAAGGGTTATCAAGGGAAAAGTCCTAGAGAAGTGGCAGCTGCTATGGGATGCTCAGGTTAACAATAAGCTTAAAACCATAAAACCTCTTGTTGAATACTGGGATTCAATAGGAAACCTAAGAAAGGATGTAATTCTAACCCGTCTGCGTATTAGTCGCTCTCATATAACACATAGCTATCTTTTGAAGATAACACATAGCTACCTTTTATGAGAGTGAACCTGTTTATTCCCACCGTGATAGTATTCTTTCAGTTCATCATACTTTAATTGAATGTCCGTATTTTAACTCACTTAGATTGAAATATTTTAATAACTCTGACTTGCCTCTTGACCGTATAGTGGGGAAAGTGGCCAATGCTAATTTATTTCCATATCTCAAGGAGAGTGGTTTTTGTTATTTAATTTGATTTTTTTAATGTGTCTGTGGATTTTAATGATATAAATTTTATTGTATCTCATATTTTATGATTTCACACAGCCATCACATCTTATATCATTACACAATTTATGAGTTCCTTCATTAACGTTCATCATTTTTGTTACCTCTTTTTATTTTATAAGTCTACTGTGATTGCGTCGAATTAATGTGTGCATTGAACTGTAGCATGTTTTTAACTTACCTTGAAACATTGACAACTCACATTGAAAGAAATGTTTAATGAAGTAAACACATAAATGTTGCCTTTTTTTTTTTTTTTTTTTAAATAAGAAAAATCTGAAATCGCCAAAGTCCCGACAAGTTCGGATCTCAAACTTTGTACTGTAGTAAATATTTTTAGATCATTAAAAAATGTAAGAAAGAAAAATAAGAGTGTAAGTTTGCACAGACATCTTGATTTGCTGTAAGCAACAAAATTTTTTAATTAAAGAGAAAATATTTGTTCACTATATGTTACATATATTTGATACTAATTGCTATTTTTGTTTTTAGGTTTCATATTTAGGAAATGAAGCAATTTTTACTGTTCCTCAAATAGCTGCTATGTTAATAACAAAATTGAAAGATATTACCGAAACAGCCCTTGCAAGTAAAGTTACAGATTGTGTGGTTTCTGTAAGTATACATTCTGAAAATTTGTGTATAGTTAAGTGATACTTTTTTGATGATTTTGAAAAGATGTAAAATATTAAAATGCTTTTATACTTTTTGATTATCCACCTCTGCCTCCAAAGAGGTGTCAGGCTAATATGCAAGGCAAGAGCCATTTTGAAAATGGTCACCAACTAAGAACTCCATAAAACTGCAGTGAATCTGTAAGCTTTTCCTTCATCCTTAGTGCTTGCCTTTATGATATAATTACAAAAATATCTGGTTAATAAGCGTCAGGACCAAAGTTCTTATCCCGATGAGAGTATTGTTCATTTTTAATGTTTCCTGCTTCAATAAACCTAATATTTATTTCTACAATAGCGCTCAAAATGGGGTAGGTGATAATTCATCATCACCTAGATTTGTGAATGGGTCCCATCTTCCACAGTCACCCTGTAATTGGGGAAGAATGGAATTTAAAGTATTTTCTTTCTTAATGTGTGCCTTTGTGCTATAATATAAAGCACGTCCGAATGGCAGTCAGAAAATCTAGAGTTAGAATCCTGGTGAGGACATGTGTCATTTTTCATTTTCTGCTCCTATTAATATATATAAAAAAATATCTAATGTCTCTAGTGCCTGAAAAAAATGTTGTTACGTAGAACCAGGAAAAAAGTAGGTGGCAGACATATATTAACACAAGACAACATTTTTTAACGGCACAACACAGAATACTGAAACACAGCATGAACAATTTGTACTTATATGTACGCTTACTCAGGTTTGAATCTTATGGACGCCAAAAAGCGCTGGATTTGGCGGGAGCTTAAATAAAACATCTTTAACATACTGAGGCCCGATGGCCTTTTAGAACATCAAATATTATAGCACTACATAAATAAAATATACATACCTATGTAGTTTTACGAATCATCAAATATAACTCTTATACAAACTCAGCTTAGTGAATGAGCATTTTCTGCATAAATCAGTAATGTTGAGATAATCTAAGCTACAAAACAAAACAAAACTTAATTAAAATCATAATAAAGAAATGAAGTAATATATAGTTCAGTTCACAAACATCAGCAGTACCAGTATGTGAATTGGTCTAATTAGTTCACCACTTGCAGTTTTTAATTTGGAAGTCTTCCCTTAACCCAATATAAAGCTATTTCTGAGTCGGTCCATACCTGGTTAGTGATCAAATCTCCAAAAAGACTGAAAATATACTTTCCAACTCGAACACCGATTAAAACTGCCATTAATTCTAAATGAGGCTATGTAATTTTCTTCAAAGGAGCAACATAACAAATGACACCATTATATTACCACAACTATCCTGATAACGAAAATAAGCAACGGCTCCATACGCATTTAGAGGCGCATCACAAAATACATACAGTTCAACTTTGGCATCCTGGCGGTTAACTTACCCCAACAAACAATGCCTTTGTAACTTTATTTGCCCTAACCGTTTTATTTCTGAATACCACGTTAACTATTTGTCTATAAGATCACCTGGTAACTTTTCATCTCAACTTATGTCTTTCTCCCAAATCTCTTGCAACAAATATTTTACTCTAATCACAAACGGAGCTGAACTACCAAATGAATTAAAAAACATGGCAGCTACTTCCAGAACACCACATTTATTACTCCTCATGGATTTCAATTTATCTAGCAACGGTGTAACATCAAGGAAAATGATATCGTCCTCAGGAATCCATTTCACACCTACCACTTTCACATGTCTTTTACTATTCTCAACATTAAGATTATTCCAACCCCATAATCTTTCCAATTTCGGAGAGTTGGATCTCTGTTTCCGCAAGTTAAACCCACTTGCCATCAAAATTGAATCAGCGTCATTTGATAATTTATATGTCTCATTTGTATTCTCTGAAACAAAATATAAGTCATCCACATATAATGATGTATTTAACATGCATACTGAATCAGGATTAGTTATCTTATATTTCCTAATGTGGATTTTAATAGTACTAGTTAGTATAAAAGGTGAAATTTTGCAACCAAACAGCAACCTATTCATATGCATAATTTTACATTCAGCATTTTTATTATCAGGAAGCCAAAGAAATTTTAGAAATTTACAATCCTCTTCAGCAATTTTTATCATTAAAAATGCTTTTTCAATATCCCCATTAAACACAATTTTAAATTTTCTGAAATGCAATAATACATCTAGTACATTAAGATTTAAATGTGGGCAAGTTTTCTAAACAATCATTCAATGACATAGCTTTCTTGGTTTTTGAACTACAATTGTATACAATGCGAATCTTCGTAGCATCTTTATTTCTGTTTACAACTGCTCGATGTGGCATAAAATATTCATTACAATCCCTTCCGCATTCTTCAATAATTCCTTTACTTTCTTGGTAGCAAAATATTTGTTTATACTCATTGACAATCCCCCACTTTTTTTTTTTTTTTCCAAAACACTTTTGAGTCATCAAACCGTTTTCTAACGAGGGAAACATTATTTTCTAATTCTGAAGGTAACGCTTTCCGTAACAATTTAGTTTCATATCGGCCATCCATAAATCTCAGATAATTTTTGAATTGTTCAATTAAAACACTTGTCAGCAATAGATAATTGATCCCTATCTTTTATGCCTAAGCTTTCCAATTCCCATAACACTTGAATATCTGTTCCTGTACTCAAGTTAGAAAGTTAGAAGATACTATATTTACACAACTAGATTTATTGCATCTCTGCTGAATTCCCTGCAGAGTAAAACCAATAATTGTCAGTATCCAATTAAGAGTTTTACTTCTTTTGTGAAAACCCGAACCCTCAATAGTATTCCAAAACATGTCTCCTCCAATTAATATGATTACCGACTGATCATCATTTTTACCTTCATGAACTAAAATAATACCCTCATTTTCAAAACACTCTGTATTTTATCATCTGGAATAGCAGTTAGCACGGCTGTAAATGTATCAGTAATTAATGCGGTGATTTCAATAGATTTATCTGAACTGTTCCTGCTTGTTAATTTTATTTTAACTACATCATATAATTTTTTAGTTGCTTTTGATGAACCAAAAGAATAATGTAATCTTTCCTTTCTTATAGGCTTTAATTTTAAGGAATTAGCTAAAAGTTTGGTACACCAAGAACGCTCAGATCCATTATCTAACAAAATACGTGCTGTTTTTGAAATGTTTGGCTGATTTACTGAACTAGCGATGACTGAGCATGTCAACAACAATATACTGATTTTTGATACTGTTGAATTACACTGCATAATGACCGCATTGTTTTCTGAATCACTTACAATTGCACCAACTGGGCTCTGCTTTTCAGCTTTACTTGGATCATTTTCATTACATAACAGAGAATTATGAAATTTACTTTTGCAATACTTACATTCGAATTTTAATCTACACATACAACTTAAATGTTTTTAGGAAAGCATTTAAAGCACCTATTTCAGCTTTCAATTTATTTTTCCTATCTTCTGCTGTTTTAAATCCCCAAAACTCGTGATCTGGGCTATTACAAATTACACAGTTCCTTTTAATAGTGGTAGCATAACTTCCGGTTGGTCTCACATGATCAACGTATCTTCTATTGTAATTAGATTATCTAAAATTATTTCTAGCTTTGTTATTATAAGTCTCTGTTTTAATTTTAGGTGAATCAGGTTTTGTTCGAGCTAATATGTTTTTCCCTAGAGTGAATTTCACCATCTAAAAACGTAAGTACGTCCTGGAAAGTGAATCACTGGACCATTTTCTTTTAAACTCCAAGACAAGATCTTTTGGCATTCCGTCGGAAATTATCGGCATTGCCAAATGTATCAGTTTTTATGCCTAAACATTCCAAATTTCTAATTTGGCTTTCAATTTTATTGAAAAATTTTCTCAAATTAACAATGTATTGTGAATTATGAACAGCAGGAATTTTTAATAAATTATTCATATGAGTTTGGATTAATTTATTAGCATTACCAAACCTATTTGTGAATATATTAAGCTATACCTCATAATTTCTTTCCATAATCGCTAACCCAGCAATCGAACTCCCAGCTTGGCCACTTATTAGGATTTGAGATAATTAAATGTATCTACTTTAGAAAGAGTAGAATTTTTTCGATAGCCAACTCAAACTGACAAAAAAATTCTAACCACGATGATGGATCACCGTAAAATTGCTTAATAATATTAGGAAGTTTTACTGTTCTGCTTCCATTTATCATAAGTGGAGTGTCAGACGTTTCAGGTACTTTTTCGATAACATCTGGAAGAACAATGAAAACATAACATTTGAATGTTTTACTTCTGATACTAGAATCTTTTTCTTAACATGTTTATCTTCCCTTTATTTTCTCTGCTTTTTCACGAGACACAAGCATAGAAAATATTAAAAATGCTTCTAATCTTATGGCATGGACAGGCATTATAGAAAGGAGTTTTTTGATTAATAAAGAAATTGGAAACTGGCAATTTAAAAGATTCATCTAATATGTCTTAATGCATCATAAACAGGCATTTTCCCACCTGGTGCAATCACGTAGAATATTAAACTTATCTCTGTAGATCCTAAATTTTACTGACTAGTGTGTAAATTCTGCTTCCAGTGCCATCTCTAAATTCTAAAAGTTTTGCCATTTCTAGATTTTGTTGCTCGGTGTGTCACTAAATTCTAAAAATTCTACCACACCAGCTCTGTAACCGGCCCTAACAATATATATTTCATATTTCTTATATTTCTTCTGAATATTCATATTACAGTCAAAAGTCTTTGATCCGGACTCGTCGAGACTTCGGCGATTCCGGATTGTCGATTTTTCCGGATTATAGATCATCAGTTTAAATCTGGTAAGATGGCATGCAGAAATTATAAAATTAAAAATATGAAACCGTAATTTATGAAATAAAGAGCAATTATGATCTAAAAGGTATCAAAATTTACCCAAAAAAAGCTTAATGTTTATTTGTTTACTTTATTAAACATATCTTTCAACGCGTGCATGCGTAAAGCATACATTACGCATAGTCAAAATTAGAAAATTGCAACCAGAAAACTATTTGATTTGTATTCGTGATATTTATAATGACGAGGAATTTGATTTAAATCATATCAAAGACGGAGTACATCGAGATGAAATACTACATTTAGTAAGGAATTATAAACCGAATAAAATAAAAACATCTGCCCTGAAGATAAGGATAGTGCTGACAGATCAACTTCCAGTTCAACTGCGCACCATGGTATTATTTCCCCCCCCCCCAGAGCAGCGTAAAATTGATATACGGATTTCGGAATGGTTCGAGAAACAAAGGTATGCCTTTATCCATTTTTTGCAGCAATTCCACTTTTTGTTTGATGGACATCGAAACATGCTTTCCCTTTGTAGATCCTTTTGCAGCTCCAGCATCGGAAATTCTATTTGACATAATCGAAAGTTCCAACTTACTTTTATAAAATTGCTCTAACAGTCTGCAAAAAATAATAAGCCGGATCCAATTCGAAGATTAAGGAACAATGCAATCTGGAACATTAAATGAAATAGATAATTTTAGCCTAGCTTATACCGTCCGTTATACATTAAGCGCGCATGCATAAACGTATTATGCGCATACGCAGAAAGTTTGTAGCTTTGAGGCCGGATTATAGATCATTCCGGATTATGGGTGTCCGGATTAACGACTTTTGACTGTACTAGAGAAATAAAATTAGCAGCTTTTCCTATACATTTTAAACACATTTAGTTTTTTTAGAATAACATAAATCTTTAATTAAATGCAAAAATTCTAAAATTAAAAAGAAGCGTGTTGAAGAAAAAAAAACGAATACATACAGAGAAAGAAAATCATTCTTCATATATATATATATCAGTATTATTATGTAAATTACCCAGTTGTTTGTAATTTCAAGCCTTTACTATAATTTCCCGTTCCCACTTCCTCCTCAGAATACAAATCACTTGGGCAGTTTTTAAAGTGAGGTCTTTGGTGTGTAAGACAGAAATGTGTTTTGAATCTCCGCTTGCTCGCTGCATTAGTTCCTGCCAGCTCTGTAACTTTTTGTGTTTGCATTATCGCTGCTGACATTTGAATTTGTTATGATGATAGAGTTACTGAGCCAGCTGAAATTAAAATTAAATTGTATAGTCTTTGACCACTAGTCCACCTTTTTTTGTTTGAATTTGATTGTTCTGGTTTAATTACATCATCCCAAACTTTAATTGATTTGGTTAGCATAAGAACATACCTTAAATTCTTTTTAAATAAGAGGCTTATTTAAACCTTTGTCTGACTTTGTAGTTACTTTGAGACATAGCAATAATTTGCTTCACGTCTGTCGGGAATTTTTGGACTATTTAACTTTTACCAGATCAAGTAAACCCTCATAGGTACATTGTGGAAAGGTTGACAATTCAGGAGATAAAGCATGCAGAAACTAGTGAGAAAATTAGTTTGCATATTGAGAGAAATTTCTAATTCTTAATAGATGCTTTAAGAGAAGGAAATCGATGTAAATTAGCCAAAATGTCTGGCCAGGCTTCAAATTAAAAAGAAGCATAAATATTTTGTTGAGTGTTGTTGCTATAAAGCATAAATGTTTTGTAGCTTTTAATGTATAATTATCCCAATATCATTTAAGAATCAATGACATAAATTGCATGTATTTTAAAGTGTGAAATTTTATTAGATTGTGATTTTAATAGGGACTTTTAACAATATTCTTAAAAAATAAGTAAAATTTAATAGTGGTAATGTAAATCCATAATGACTAAGGTTATCTAACTATCTAGTTTAATTTATAACTAACTGCTTACCCTTAAAAATTATCTCTGCATATTAAAGTGAGTTATTGCCTTTCATTATTTCTTAGCATGGTACAAGGTAAAACACAAAAATGTAAAACTTATTCTTCATATCTAGTGAGACCTAAAATAATACAAAGCAGCTTAGTGTCACCTCTGGTGCTTTAGTGGCTTATTGAAACCTTAAAGTATATTAACTGGATTACATCCCCTGAAACTCTACACGGAGCTACGACACCTTAAAGTATATTAACTGGGTTACAACCCCTGGAACTCTACATGGAGCTAGGACACTAATTGCTACAGACAGAGCCCAACTAACTTTAAAACTAGCTAATGGTGCTCACATCAGGCCTTTCAATTTTGTTCTGGTCTGCAGGTCTCTCTTTAGGCAAGGAGCAGCGGTGACAACAGTCAGTCTTTTGTTATAAATCATTCTTATTATGATTTTACTTTTCATTTTTACCTATGACGCTTGATATGAAATCTACCTGGCTATTTACTAAACCTCTGGATTAAGCAAGTAATGAGACTAAAAAAAAAAAAAAAAAAAAAAAAAAAAAAAACCAACATGAAACTATAACTATTAGTAAAACGTAAATAAAATGTCACTTATCTTCTTTCAAATATACTGAACTATCATAAGTGTAAAATATTTAATGCTGTTTGATAAATTTCATAAAGTATATTTTATACTCAAACTTACTAATAATTATGTTAATTAAGTTATGTTTAATAATAATGCATCCTACTTAGGGATCTATTTTATTTTTTGGATGGTATTACAAAAGTGAAGTTCAGGCATAGATAATATTTTTAATTGAATTTATTAATTTGCTATTTCCTCATAGGTCCTTAATTTTTTTCATTAATGGTCTTTAAAAGTCCTTAAAAGTACTTAATTTCCATGTGCAGAAATGTGTACAAATCCTGCTGGAACCAAACATCTGACACCATAAAATGTTATGTAGAACCAGGGAAAAGTGGCAGACACACATATTAACACAACGTTTGACGGCACAGCACAGAATACTGAAACACAGCATGAACTATTTGTACTTATACGCTTACTCAGCTTTGAATCTTATGGATGCCAAACATCATCTGATTTGGCATAAGCTTAAATAAAACATCGTTAACAAATGTGGAGGATCCATAACTCATAAATAAGGTGAATGGTGATTCAAGATTTGACAACTGGGTTCCATTTTTCCAAGTTGTTTTTTAAGTGTGAAAGAATGTAAGATTTTTCTCCCCCCCCCTTACCCTGTGCCTCGGTGCCATGATTGAAAAGCACATGTGACTAGCAATTGGAATGTCCAGAGTTCGAGTCCTGGTAAGAGGGCATTGTATATTTTTCATGTTTTATTATCCCAAAATAAAAAATACCTAATGATCTTTACAAATTAGTAAAATTTGAGGGGGAAGAGAACTTTAATAGGGTTCTTACCTTTTTGAAAAAAGTGTATGTAATTTTTCAGAAAATTTCAAAAATTTAGCATTGTGCACACTGTTGTCCTTTAGTAATTTGTTTTTGCTTAAAAAGTCGTTAGAGAATTGTACAAATTCAGCATTGGCTCACAAATTTTGATCTGTAAAATTTGATCGTTTATGAAGTACAACTTGGTGGAATGTAAGTTTTCATATTCTCTACTGTTAGGGAAAATGTTATACAACTGAATAAATGTAACATTTTTTGGTGGTAGTCATCTTCTAAACTCCACACTTCCATTACAATTGCTTACAAGAAAAAAAAAAATGTACTCGATGGGGAAAAATAGTAATCAGAAAAATTGCCATTGAATTTAAAGGTGGAAATCTGGGCTCATCTGCTGCATGTGCAGGCCCTTGTGCTTACCTCAATTGCCACATGAATACATTTTTAGCAATATCATGGGATGCTCATTCTGGTAACGCCTCATGAATACATTTCAGGGGGCTGGATAATCACAAAGAATGTTATAATTCTTGAAAGACAAAATATGTCAATATAATTAAGTTGTTTTTATTATTAGTGATACAGTAATTAATTTGTTTCAAAGATTGCATAAAATACTGAGATGTTTTTGTTCAAGATAATGATAATTATGTATGGATAAAAACTTGTCAAAAAAGTGTCTCTTTCTTATAACTAAATTCTGTGTACATTGTATTTTGATATAAATTCACATTCTGTGAAATATTGTTTGTTCATACAGTTGTCATTAAATAATGTAAGAATATTATAAAATTGATTTTCCACCTCAAATCAGAAAGGGGGGATAAGAATCAATGTTACAGTCGCAAGAATCAGGATCACAGATGGTATTTTGGGGTATGGTTAAGTACTGGGTAACCAGCAAGTACCTTGAAGTTGGGAGAAATTTGTGTATTAAGATTTTAGGTCTTTCATGTGCTATTTGTTACTCATATGCTGAAATATTGTGAAGCTTTTATAATTTTTTTAGTAGTAACTAAAAAGTTTTTTTTATTTATTTTTGAATAATGAAGGTTCCAATATTTTTTACTGATGCTGACAGAAGAGCAATGTTGGATGTCTGTAAAATTGCTGGTCTGAATGTTCTTCGCCTTCTTAATGAAACTGCTGCTGGTATTATATATTAATATTTAGTTACCTGTTATTTTGATACCTTAAATTATTATAAATTATTTAAAATATATGTTTTCATTTCCTTTTTTTTTATTATTACTATTTTTTAATATTTTCTTGCACGAAAAATTTCTATTTGTTAAAATTTTAAAATGCAAATTCTTGTATGATATCTGGATAATTTTAGAAATGGTTAATGTAAAATCAAAGGCTATATAAAAGGACTCATTTTAAGACGTGTCCTAATAGTATGTTAATTATATTTATGATAACAAAACTTTATTTTTGTCCAGTTTAAAGTCCTAACTTTTTTCAGAATAAGCTAATCTCTATTTCTGATATCTATTTTCATAGTTTCGAATAATTTTAATTCAATATTTTATGTTATAATTTATTATCCTGTTTCAAATGTACCATTTTAATCTTTGATGATAGAGAACTTTCACTTATTAGTTATAAATATTTATCAATGCTTTGTTGGAGTTGCCAAGAGTTCCAGTTTTAGACTGTACTCTCACTAACCCATTTAACAAATTTTTTTGTTAAATGGGTAAGTAAGTGTTTTTAACATTAGAATAAAAGGTTCTATTAAGAATACCTAAAATATCGATATAGTTACTACCTACTTTGTTAAAAATAGGTGTGAGAAAAATTATTTCTGCCCTTGTGGGCAATTTAATTGGCAGTTCTCAAAATAATACTACAAAACATAAGCGTAAATTTGATACTAATTTCTCTAAAAAAATTTATATCTATTGCTCGACAGACAAAATTTTCCAATTATTGTAAGTTTACCTTGTGAAAAAGGAATATTTATGTTTTTGTCTTCAGACCTTTACAAAATTTTGTGCTGTTTTGTACACTCCGTTTTATCATTGTTTGATGTTCTTAACACCACAATACTACAATGCAGAATTCCATTAATTCATATTTGCATTAGTGATCTGTTTAAAGATTTTGTCAAACCAACTTTTGTTTTGTTGTCGAATTCTACGTATTGTGATTTATGGTGAAATGGAATTTTGGGAGAAAAGTGAAGATTTGGTAATAGGGGCTGAAATTAACAAAGTAGTGAAAGAACTTTCAACAGAAGAAAAAAATAAGTTTTATTTTCACGTTAGAAGCTACTTCTGCAGAGTATGTGTTTACGTGCTGCATAAATTTCCAGTTTAATGATGAAGTGATTTTATATGCTAAAGTTGCAGATGTTTCTTTTCTAGCAAATGCATCCTTTTCTGGTATAAGATATTTTTTGAATAGATTTCCAGTTTTACTTTATTCAGTTTTGAAAGACGATGATATTGATGTTGTAACTGATAAATTGCAGTTGGAAATTTAGAGTTTACAATTAGAAAAATGGAATAAAGTTATATAACTTGCAAGAATTGACACACACTAAAGTTTAATTGGAAAACTGAAAGGTGCTGATGGAATTTTAAAATACAATGAACTGTCTAGAATAATATTGGCCATCCTGACTATTCTCCATAGTAATGCAGAGTGTAAGAGGATTTTCATTATTTTTATTGAAGAAGTAAATTTAAATCCATTATTAGTAATGACACATTAGAAACACGTGTTACCAAATTACGCCCATGTGGTATTTGCTACAAACAAAATTACGAAGTTTCTTTCTTAATGAAAGCAAGATCCGCCACTGTTCTTAGCCATTTATACAAAATCTGATTAAAGTGCTATTTTTCTAGTAAAAGAGATGCTAATAAAAATGTGTTTTGTAAGTATTTTTTTACTATTTCCATTTAAGAATTAATAACTGAACTTTCAAATATTAATGAGTTACTATTTGAAGTTGATTCATTATTAAAAATATATTTTCTTTATCATTTAAAAAATCTTTTTGTCACTGAGAAAATTTTTCTGATTTCTTAAAAAAAAATCTGATTTTTGAGTGTCATAGGTTGGCAAAGTATGCTGTATGTACTTTTTATTTGTGTCAAGATGAAAGTTTTTTTTTTTTTTTTTTTTTTTTTTTTTTTTTTTTGTCTAGATCTTTCAGTATTCACATACGAATAACACTTTTGTGAATAATTGTCAATATTTACATTAGCATATTTATAACATTTATTTCAAAATTCAAAATAAATTCGAGGGTTTTTTCATTTTTTTCCCTCTATTCTTAAAGAATTTAGTTTGAATCGTCGTTTATTTTTAGTTTTAACAAATCATATTTATATATTTTTCTATTCTATTAGTTGCTCTTGCTTATGGTTTCTACCGCCAAGATTTGTTAGATGACAAGCCCAAAAAAGTTGTTTTTATTGACATTGGACATTCATCTGTACAGGCTTCACTTTGTGACATGTATCGATCAAAGCTAGAAGTAAATATTTATACATTTTCTGAAGCAAAATGTGTGTTAGTTTTTCTGTGTGGATTCCCCCTTGTATCTATTTATGTAAATTATTTATCTATTATGCATGTCTCCTTGTATCTATTATGTATTTTAGAGTCTATTTATGTAAATTTAAAATTTTAAAATATATCTAAAAAGAAAATTAGTAGAAATAACTTCCAACTTTGAATTTAGCATGTATTATTTTTTATTGATTTGTTAATGTTTTAATTTAGGAACATAGGTTACATAGAAGCTAATTAACCCTCTAAGTGGCATGTCCGGCTTTATTTGGTTGTGAGATTTTTTGTTACTTGGGGAAAAGCACGGAAACGCCCATGCAGCCAGCCCATTCGCCGGGACTCGAACCCCGGGAGCAGTTTATATCGCTCGGCTGCTGGTGGGCTGTGTCACATACATTGCTAAGCCTTTAATCATAGCACTTTATGGCTGCTGGCCAGCACAAGATTGGCACTGGAGGTGATATTGTTTCCTCAATGTCACATTATGCTGTGGCATGTGGCATTTTAAAAGAATCAAAATAAATAGCAATATGCATTAGTTTTGTATGAAAAGTTATTAAAAACAAATATGTATATTCTAAATATTTTTTTTTTCAAATTAATTGCTATGAAATTATTACAAACTATATATTTCAGAATGTTATTTGTATATTATCTTTGCACAGTCTGAGCAATAGCTGAGAGATCCATCAAAATTTGGTGTGGTATAAAATAAAAATGGTATCTTTACATTTTCCTTGGGAATAGCAACTTTTGTAGTACCTTCCCACCTTTCTTTTCTTCTCACGGTTTGGGCACTTATTCCACTTCAGATCGACGTGATGTAAAAGCATGAAGTTTCAGTGGCTTTTTTAAGACACTCATAAGCAAACGTCATAAAATGACACATTTCCATTGCAATACTTTTTATAGATAAAGTGGGAATTCGTCATCATTATTTGTAAAATGTGCAAAAATATTTTGGGAGGCCACCTATTATTTTTTTTAATTCTCAAAAGAAAAAATCAGTAAAAATCTAGCAATAGCTCTCTATAGAGTTTGTGCTTCAAGTCACAAGTCTTTGATGACATGGAAATAAAAAAAGAGACTAAGCGTTCCAAATTATTTACTTTCCCACAACTCTAAGAAGGAGCACTGAAAAAATAAATATTCCTGATGGCCATCCTCATTTCTTGAAATTGTCATTGGTTCGACCATAATCTTGAGAACATTTAGCTAATCAGTATCCATCAGTATCAGTACTACTCATTATCATTATCCATTAAAGAGCTACTTCAGCATTTTTGAAAGTATTGGAAACACTCCAAAGACCTGAACATTCTCCAAAATTGCGAGGATTAGTAGTAGGAAGGAACATGTCATTAATGATAAGAGCTTCTGGGAGTTGTAGCTATGTTATCTCTGTTTAATAATTACCCATGTAATATAATCCCATTGACAATGCTACTGCAATCTACCACAATGCAAATAAATATAAAAATATTAATAATTTTATGTTCTCTTTACGGACCACCTAATGAACACATAGATCAGCTACAGTTAGATGACCTTATAGAGCAGCTGTATGCTCCTTTTCTACTTTTGGGAGATTTTAATGGATGGTCATTCTCTCTTTCTCCTTACTAAGATGAGAAAACATACTTCCACCAGCTTTTACGTTTAGTGTCAGAAATGATCCATTGAACAGTGAACATATCCCCTGCTTTCTGTCTTTTTCATTAGAGACTATCTATCCCATTGCAAAATGAGAAATTTTTTTTATTTGATTGTGCCACCAGGATTTCTTGACTGCTAATGCTACAATAACAGAAAATATTAGCAGATATTCAGCAGGTAGATGAAGCAGTGCAGGCTGTTTCTAACAGAACTTTTGAATGCTGAAACACTCTCAAGCAACAAAGAAAAACTTTGGGCATTTTTTATAGATATACCACTTTGTCAAACCTAAAAGCTATTAAAAAAGGCCAAAGCAAATGGAAAAAAAGTAGGGGAGGAATTCGTGGGTAACCTACAAATAACACCCTCTGTGCAAAGTAAACTAGTATGGGAATGAGTTAGTAAAGCATATGGATTACATAAAAACCACTCACTTTGCATTCTGGAAAATGATGGCAATTAGCAGCACAGTAAATATTCCAAATACATTTGCTGAGACTTTCTAGCCTGTGCTGTTAACAGTGGTTACAAATTATTTTTACCTCTAGAAATGGCAGCATTTCTCTCTATCAAGCGTCGCTCAGAGAAAACGTCTGCTTCATTCAGCTGTTCCAGTAGAACACCATATAATGTAGATTTTGCTATACTTGAGCTAAAGATAACCCAGTTGGATACATATAGATCCAGCCTTAGACCACATAGTGTCAATTATGAAATACTAAAGCATTTCTTCGTGACTCGTTGGCTTCACTTCTTGCTCTGTACATCAAGTATACGGTTTTGAAAGAGTATATGTTCCCAGATGCATTGAAAAAAGCTGCTGTCATTCCTGTATCTAAGCCAGGAAAAGACTTGCATTATTCCTAACTATTGGACTATCACACTAAGCTGTATTTGCGAACTCTCAGTAAAAAATGATAAATCTCCATTTAGTCTGTTACCTGCAAAAAAAGAACAATGTAATCTTATCAGAGTCATTTCCATAAAGATAGAGCAATGGTGATTTGCTTCTTTATTGGAAACCTTCATCTGTAAAACCTTTGCCAAAGAGAATCATTTAGTTTCAGTATTTTTTTATGTTCGAAAGGTTAAAAGTATAGGAATATGGCATTTTCTGTGACCTTGCTCGAGTGGCTTGTGCGAAAGCCTGCTCATTTTCACACAGAGTGTTTTTTTAAGGCTAGGGTATTTCAAGTAAGAATTGCCTCTTTGTTTTTATATTTATTTCCTTCAAGAAGAGGGTGTGCCTCAAGACAGTGTTCATAGTGTGTTGCTCTTTTTATTTTAAGAATAAACTATCTTAAATGAGCTTTCTTCTACTGTTTTGGGATCACCATATGTTGATGATCTCCAAATAAGTTGTCAAGGTAGAGAAATGAGATGTAGAGAGAGGTCTAACCAAAAGCGTACCGTTCTTTTGCATATACTATACTTGAGTGAAGTGGCGTTTTATCAATGTGCGCTTTCATCGCTGTGGGCATTTGTCGCGTGGGCAATTATCGTAGTGGGCTTTTGTTGCGTGCGCTTTCGTCCAGTGGGCTTTTGTCTGGGAACCATATATATATATATATATTAAAAAATAACTTTTTTTAAAGTGGTGGAAATGAAGAAGTGTTTTAAAACACTGAACTTATTAAAAGTGCTGGGATGGAAGGTTGCTCACTGCTATGGGTTTATTGATCGCTTGTCCACTCAAGAATGGAATATAATAGCTCAGTAGTTTACTGATCAGCATGGTTATGTATTTACTAAAGCTAGTTCCTGTTCATCATCGTGTTCTATGGATTAATTCTAACGTCTTCAAAACATCTCCAGTAAATAGTCTGTTTGCCTCTTGCTTCAAACCATCTCTTCATTTGAGATGTGAGTTGTTGTCTCTTAATTGTTATTTCAAAATTTTATCAATACATGACCATCTTAATGCCCCCTTCTTGCTTCATAACTGCTACAGTCTTCTATTTGCAACAAGACCTCTGCAGCATTTCATATAAGAGTCGAGTCACCGATAGGAAAATATTGCATATCCAGTGTAAATGGCCAGACACTAAAATCTTGAAATTTCACCCTGGCAGGTTGCGAATATCCAATTTCTTGGTGCTTTCTATGATCTGAACAAGAGAAATACTGGCAATATTGTGTATAGACATTTTGTTTTTTAAACACAGAAAAAAATACAACAGGTATATTCCTGTATATACGGATGGTTTAAAAGTAAATCACTTTCAAGCATATGTTTTATCATAAGAAAGGCATCCGTTAGCATGATGTGTGCACAGTTTCAACCACTGAATTAACTACTGTATACTGTGCATATTCCTTTATATCTAAGTTTTTCCCAGAGAAAATTTTAATTTATACAGACTTGTTCAGTGCATTGAAAGCTTTAAAAATATTTTCTGACACCCAAGAATCCTGTAGTTGTGGAGTTATGAGATCCTTACGGCTGAGTTCCCGGCCAATTAGGGTCAAGAAGTAATGAACTGGCAAACATTACATCTAGTCGGCTGTTGAACTTCCATTCGGATATTCCTTCCAGAGATATCAATATCATCATCAAGTATAAGGTCAAGTGTAAGTTAGTGACAATGGCTTTGGGATGCTCAGCTTCATAATAAGCTGAGAAATTTTAAACCTAGAGTGGTATATTGGAATACTAATAGAAACCAGGGAGAGGAAGACCTTTTAATTCACCTCAAAGTTATCCACTCTCAAGCTAACTTAATTACCTTTTGAAAGCAGAGAATAAGCTTGTTTAGTATAGGTGTGATTCTGTTCTTAAAAGTGCATCACATTTTAGTAGTGTCCTTATTTTAATGCATTTGATAAGAATATATTTTAGTATCATTTTATCGTACTGTTGGATTGGAAGTATCATTTAATTAGACAAGACTTAATTTTAATACATGTTTACGCATCACATTATAAAGGTAATTTGTTCAGTGTGGCTAATGTCCAATATGCAGTCTAATGTAACAGAAAAATATTTGGAATTCTGTATTATTTTCATAATTTGTTTCCTGGTAGAATGAGCTAAAAGTGCAATAATTTCATTTTGAAAATGTTGACCTAAATTATGGGCCAGGTGGGTATTTTTATCTTTACAATTTTGGATGTAATTTATATATTCAAATAAAAAAGGGTCAAATATGCCTGTCATTTCCACCACTTTTTAAAAAGTTTTTTTTAAATATATATATATATATGGTTCCCAGACAAAAGCCCACTGGACGAAAGCGCACGCAACAAAAGCCCACTATGATAATTGCCCACGCGACGAATGCCCACAGCGATGAAAGCGCACATTGATAA